CCCCCCCCCCCTCCTTCTCTGTCTCTCTTCCGAGCCTATGAAGCTGGGGATCTCTGCATATTCAAGAGCAAAGAGCAAAGCCTTGGCAATGTGCAGGATTGGCCTGGGGTCACGAAAAGGCGGGACAGGTCATTTTACCTTCTCTCAGCCCACCCTGGATGCGTTAATCCAGCCCTAAAGAGGGAAACTCTCCCCCTCTATGGCGATGTTCAAGGTTACAGCCTGCAGTCCCAGGAATTATTACAATAATAAGATCGCCGTATGGCGTGAACCAAACGATCCTCAGATATTCAGAGGTTGTCAGCATTTAAAACAGGTGGTTTGCAGGTTTTTTATACACACATTTTAATATATATTCTTACACTTCAGCAGTAAATGGTATTTGTTCAGGTTTGTAACTTTCTTTGTTGTAGTGGGCTAAATAATTAATATTAATGTGTTAATTTAAGTAATTAAAGATTTTACTTTGGGGAAATAACGTGTATGGAGAAATTGACCTTTATCTTAACACTACAATATGTAAAATTATGAAAGAAATCCATATATATATGTATATTCACACACACACACACACATTCACACATATAGACAAATGCCTATAAGTGCCTATAAGATCACCCTTTTACATCTGTCAGTGAAGGACCCTGCTCCTCTACGAGTACTGTGTTGCTCATGTCAACCCACTCATTTAGCCTAAAAATATAAATTAAAAAAAAGTTGAAAAAAAATGAAAGAGCATGGAGCAGGTGATCCTAAGAGGCATGAAATGAAACTACTGTTCTATGACAGTATGGGGGTCTCCATGGACAAAAAAATAGCAACACATTTTTTTTTTTTTTTTGCTGTTGTACTGGACATTACTTTATTCTGACCTCAATCAAAAGGTTGTTTGGTTGAACACCAGGTGATATGTCCTGGCTCCTCCTGGCAGTGGTAAAAAGACACGCTTTTTGTAATGCATCCCAAACTGAAACAAGGCCGTGGTAATTCTCACACTGTTACCCGTCCAGCGTTTATTCAATGGCAGCTGGTCCCACCATCTGGGAAAGCAGCACCGGGGCAAAACAAAACAGGTTACACCTTTGGCCATGCCAAGTCTGCGAGTGGCCCACTCCGTCTACAAACTGAG